CACCCTTCAGGACATGACAATGGAAGCCTGGGGCAAGTTTTCAAATGATTCTGATGAAGTGTATATGAAAAAGAAAAAGTCTTATAAACATGTTGAGGTGATCTTCCTTGAAAATAAAATGACAGGAATCCATTAAAGAAACCAGCAATCAGTGGGGTCTATAGTCCTAACCTACTAACCTGTTGTTCAGCTTTTGATATTGACACTCCACACCACTGACATGCTGTTTTCTTGTATAAACAATCACGTTCTATGTGGTCCTTTAGATTTTGGGACAATAATTTAGTGGCACAGCCTGCATTAGGGCACTGTATTTCCTTGTAAGCACACTGACTAAAGTGTTCCTTTAAAAAAAAAGAACATTTGGGATTTGCATTACATAATAACCTGTCCACTGTGCACCCACGTGTGCTTTTTCCTTGTACGTTTTTAACATATAGTTTCTCTTATACACTCTCTTTCATTTATCCTTAGGTACAGAATGACTTTTCACTAAAATACCATTGATTTGAACAATGGGATTTTGACTAACAGGTCGCAGAAGCTTCACCATGAAAATGATCATGTGCAAGTCACAGAGGCTCTGCAGAATTACTACCACCTTGAGTGCCAGTTTTCACAAGTTGCACAGTGATTATACAGGGGTTTCATTCCTTTCTCAGTATTTAAAGATATTAACAATTATTGATCGGGTTTTTGCATGTATTTTAAAAGCCAAATTATGGTAAATAACTATACCAATGAAAGACAATAATCGGGAAAAAAATTGTGTGTAGCAAATTTGTTAACATTACCTGTAGCAGTAGTTGTAAACTAGAAAGTGTTGTAAGTGAATGGCATTAAACTTACTACAAGATTCTGCCACTTTCCGCTCCAAGTACATCCATGATTGTGATTGCTACAGACACAAACTAACTGTAAAAGCTCTCTTTGGCAGGAGATATCTTGAAAGACTGGATCTACAATCTGTCCATCTACAGGACATTTTCTATTAATACCACTGCAAGTTTAATCAGAGTAAAAAATATATTATATTCTTACAACACTATATTCAGCCTTCTAGCAGTGTTCCATGAATAAATGTAAACTACACTGTATAGCACTGATATAGCGGCAATGTCCTTGTTACTGTCAAATTTCAAACATCAACAAGCAGCCTTAACAAGAAGTTGATTGAAATCATAAAGAACATTAAATGTGGAATTTATGTTAAAAAAAGTGGTACATGTTCTTCCATTAAGTTGCATCTGAAAGATTACAAGACAGCAAACACTTCAGAACTACATGTACTTCTAGTGTTATTTTTCAGCTTTCCTTTTAAGTAAGATATGAAGTCAACACGCCTCTAATGTTCACAGTTTTCATGCTTTCATTACTTTTAACATTGTATGTAGTAACTTGACTCTGATTATTACCTTAACTGAGTGTCTGTGTGTGATAATTAATGCTGGAAGAGCTTTTTAAATTTTCAATAATGAACAATTTCTCAGACATCAGTAAGTTGTCAGTCACGTTTATGATCAGTCCATACTTCTTTAAATTAGTATATAATGTCTTCTTTCTAAAAATAGCTTTTTACAATAACTGTCTAATTTCTTGCATGCTGATTGGCTCATTTTTATCATTAATAAGAGTACAGACGGATAAAATTTTAATT